AGAGAAAACTCAAATTACTAACATCCATGATGAAAAAGTAAATATCAGGACAGACATTATAGAAATAGAAAAGATAATTAGAAATTATTTTGAAACTTTGTAGTTCAACAAAATCCAAAATATTGAAGCCATCAACAAATTTCTAGAGTCATATGATTTGCCTAAATGGAATCAAGATGATATATACAAATTAAACAGATCAATTTCAACCAAAGAAATAGAAGACACCATCAGAAGCCTACCAAGCAAGAAAAGCCCAGGACCAGATGTATACAGAGCTGAGTTCAACAAGACCTTCCAAGAAGAACTAATACCACTCCTCAAATTATTCCATGAAATAGAAAAAGAAGAAACAATTCCAAACTCATTCTATGAAGCCAATATCACCCTGATTCCAAAACCAGACAAAGACACATGAAAGAAAGAAAACTTCAGACCAGTATCACCAATGAACATAGATGCTAAAATTCTCGCAAAACAAATACAAAAACATATCAAAAAGATAGTGCACCACGATCGTGTGGGGCTCATCCCAGGGATGCAAGGTTGGTTCAACATATGGAAATCAATACATGTAATTCATCATGTCAATAGACTTAAACATAAGAATCAGAAGATCATCTCAATAGATGCACAAAAAAAAAAAAAAAAAAAAAACGTTAGACAAAATACAGCACCCCTTCCTGTTGAAAACACTAGAAAAACTAGGGATGATAAGAGGAACATATATCAACATTATAAAAATTATCTATGTTAAGCCTCAGGCCAACATCATTCTAAATGGAGAAAAACTGAAAGCATTCCCTCTGAAAACTAGAACAAAACAGGGATGCCCTCTTTCACCACTTCTATTTAACATAGTTCTTGAAACAGTGACCAGAGCAATTAGACAGATGAAAGAAAGTAAAGTGATATGGATAGGAATAGAAGAACTCAAATTAGCACTATTTGCTGACAATATAATTCTATACATAGAAGATGCAAAAAATTCCACCAGAAAACTTCTAGAATGAATAAGTGAATTCAGCAAAGTACCAGAATACAAAATCAACACCCATAAATCAAAGGCATTTCTGTATATCAGTGACAAATCCTCTGAAAGGGAAACAAGGAAAACTATTTCATTTACAATAGCCTCAAAAAAGAATAAAATACTTGGGAATCAACTTAACAAAAGAAGTGAAACACCTGTACAATGAAAACTACAGAATGCTAAAGAAAGAAATTAAAGAAGACCTTACTTGTTCTTGGATAGGCAGAATTAAGATTGTCAAAATGACCATACTACCAAAAGCACTGTACAGATTGAATACCATCGCAATCAAAATAGAAATAGAAAAAACCATCATGAATTTCATCTGGAAAAATAAGAGACCCAGAAGGGCCAAAGCAATTCTTAGCAAGAAGAGAGAAGTAGGAGACATCACTATACTAGACCTTGAACTATATTCAGAGCTACAGTAACAAAAACAGCATTGTATTGGCAATGGTACAGAATTGAGGACACAGGGACAAACTCACATAATAACAGTTATCTTATAGTAGACAAAGGTGCCAAAAACATATATTGGAGAAAAGATAGCCTGTTCAACAAATGGTGCTGGAAAAACTGGAAATCCACATGCAGCAAAATAAAATTAATCTCCTATCTCTTACCATGCACAAAACTCAACTCAAAATGGGTCAAGAATCTAGAAATTAAACCAGAGACCCTACGCCTAATAGAAAAAAAAATGTAGGTGCAAATCTTCATCATGTTGGATTAGGCCCCGACTACCTTAACAAGACTCCTATAGCACAAGAAATAAAATCAAGAATCAACAAATGAGATGGTTTCAAACTCAAAAGCTTCCTCTCAGCAAAAGAAACAATCGGTGAGGTGAATAGAATGCCTATAGAATGGGATCAAATTTTTACCACACTCACATCAGATAGAGCACTAATCTCTAGAATATATAAATAACTCAAAAATCTTAACACCAAGAAAACAAATAACCCAAACAATAAATGGGCCAAGGAACTGAACAAACACTTCTCAGAAGATGATATACAATCAATTAACAAATATATGAAAAAAAATGTTCAACATCTTTAGCAATTAGAGAAATGCAAATCAAAACTACTCTAAGATTTCATCTTACTCTAGTCAGAATGGCAGCTATTAAGAATACAAACAATAATAAGTGTTGGCGAGGATGTGGGGAAAAGGGCACACTCTTACATTGCTGGTGGGACTGCAAATCATATTGGTGCAACCAATATGGAAAGCAATATGGAGATTCCTTGGAAAACTTGGAATGGAACTAGCTTTTGACCTAGCTAACCAAAGGATTTAAAAATAGCATACTTCAGGGACACAGCCACATCAATGTTTATAGCAGAAAAATTCACAATAGCTAAATTGTGGAACCAACCCAGATGCCCTTCAGTAGATGAAAGGATAAAGAAACTGTGGTATACAAATACACAATGGAATATTACTCAGCATTACAAGAGAATAAAATCATGGCATCTGCAGATAAATGAACAGTGTTGGAGAATATTATGCTAAGTGAAGTAAATCAATCCCAAAAAGCCAAAGGACAAATATTTTCTCTGACATGTGGATGCTGATATATAATGGGGGTTGGGGGGAGCATGGGAGGAATAGAGGAACTTCAGACAGGGCAAAGGGAAGAGAGGGGAGGAAAGGGGGCATGGAGATAGGAAGGATGGTGGAATGAGATGGATATCATTACCCTAAGTACATGTATGAAGAAATAAATGTGACTGCATTTTGTATACAATCAGATACATGAAAAATTGCGTTCCATATGTGTACTATGAATTGAAATGCTTTCTGCTGTCATTTATAACAAATTAGAATAAATAAAATTCTTTAAAAAAGGTAATTGATATCAATACCTATTATTACTTTCCTTGAATATTTTATCAATAATACCATGTATAGGTCTGAATCTGTATCACTGGAGCAGGGGAAGAGGGCTTGCCTGGCTTGTATGAGGTACTGGGTTTGATCCTTAGCACTGAATAAAAATTAAAAAACAAACAAAAAAAGAATATATTATAGCCAGGCCAAGGGTGCACACCTATAATCCCAACAGCTCAGAAGGCTGAGGCAGGAGGATCCCAAGTTCAAAGCCAGCCACAGCAAAAGTGAGGCACTAAGCAACTCGGTGAGATCCTGTCTCTAAATAAAATACAAAATAGGGCTGAGCATGTGGCTCAGTGATTGAGTACCCCTGAGTTCAAATCTTAGTATCACCTACCCCCCCAAAAACAAATATATTATAGATAAAACATAGGCCCCTGACCTCCTCCTTTGCGGTTCCATTTGTCTCCCACATCCCTCATAAGCACCATTCTCATCTAGATGTTTCTGTTAGGCATGTTTTAATGCTCTTTCATATTAATATATTGCTTTACTCTGAGGAATATACTCAATATATCTGAATTGTATGCAAAAAGAAGTGGTTAAATGGTAAAATTTATATATATATTTTAACAATAAAAGCAGGGAAAAAATACCAACTTAAATGGATTCTATGTTTTGCTTTTTATGAAAACTTTCACATTCAACCTTCTCAGGCTGAAGTATTCTTTCTTTAGTACACTTCGTATACTTGCTACAGATGACCTCACCGACAATCCTTTATGGTCATAGGTGTACGTGTCTTTAACTCTTGAATGAGGAGTCACGGGTCCCCCAAAATCCAAACATCTCTTTTTGATATCTTAAACTAGTGAGAAGTGTGTGTGCTCAATTTCTGTGGAAGGGAGGTTGAAACTAAGGAGAAGGTTGAAACTAAGGAAAGGAAGACTCTAAGACTAAACACAGGATTCTCAACATGGGGACAATGGAAGTCACACAGGGTGATAGTAAAAGGAGGAGGAGAAACACGTTTGACTGAGCCTGTGGATGAGTGAGGAGGAGGATGGTGACCCTGGAGATAAGCTGGAAACATAGGAAGAATCAGCAAGAAGGATGAGTCCAGCCATCCTCAAAGAGGAAGAACTGTAGGGACAATTTTAATGGCACTCGAAGAGGAAATTCAGAGAGCACAGTACATGGGTTGAGAGGATTTGGTTAAATTAAGATCTACTGAAAACTTTTTAAGTTTTGGTAAAATAGCTTCAGTGTTAGAAATAGCTCCATGAGAGTTGACCCCCAAGAGGCTCTCTTAGATATCTGTTGATGTCTTGTGATGAGAAGATCTTCAGGAACATGGTCACCATCAGAAGCTACAGTATTTATCAAGGGCTTGTTTTATCTCATTGATTCGGGAACAACACTGTGCATTCTATAATAAAATTTCCCTCAAATTATGAATGAAGACAGCCAGGCTCAGTGTGCTTAAGTGGCATTCCCAGCCCCCACCTTCCCCTGCCACTTTGCCCCTAATGCCAGCCGACTTGCTAGAACCAGCCACCATGCCAGGACATTTTAGAATAACATGCTAGAACCACCAGGTCCCCAGGGTCATCAGAACAGCTCTCTGTCTAACACTACTGACTGACATGGCCTTCCCAGTGACTCACTACCCCCTGCCACTCACTCCAGACCCAGAAGTTCCCCCCAAACCATTCTGCCACTTGAGAGTCACAGGGGTCCTGTCTTCTCTGACACTGCAGATAGGAGTTAATGATAAAACATGTTAAAATGCATGAAATAATAGACAAACTAGGGGGAGAAATACAGTAAGAAGGGGCCTAGGGAGAGAGAAATGAAGGCCTTTGTTTAGGAGGCAGAATACTCCCTGTGATGTCCTCAGAGTCAACCTCAGTCTTCTGGTCAACATACCTACTTTCAACCTGGGCCCAGATGTTATGATGGAAGAGGAGGAAGACATGGAAAACAAGAACTTTATTAGGAAAACACAAAACCATGCTAACTCTACAACACAGGCTGGGGAATCAATTAAAATTCTGGGTGCATAGGGTTCTTAACTAGAGGGATTCTTGAGGTTGGAGCCTGTGGCCTCCAACCAAATGTCTTCTCTTTAGCGCCAGCAGGATGAGACCTTCTTGGCCTTCTCACGGCGCTTTCTCCCTGGCAGGGAGGACACCACTCTCTTCCTGAGCCAGTGAAAGAAGCGCCGGAAATTCACACAGGAAGTGCCTTCCTTGTCTGAAGGCAGGTCCCCCTCCTCTGACTGCTCTGATGACCCTAGGGAGCTCTTTGCTGTGCCAGGCTCCTGGCTTTCCATCTGCCAAGACAAAGAGGAGGAGTTAGAGACATTCAGGGTCAGCTGCAATGGGGCCAATATTACTCATTTATGGATTTCCAATTTACTTTTTTACCAAAATGAGCCAACTGTCAATGCAAAGTTTCAGGACTCACACTAAAGCCACACACAGGCACACACACTGGTCTGTACAGTGCTTCTCTGCTTCTCTCTCTCTCTCTCTCTCTCTCTCTCTCTCTCTCTCTCTCTCAGTGCTCCCTGGCATTTCCCCAACACCTCTTCCCTGACCCCTTTCCTGGCTGTGGACCTTCTCCCATTGCTCAACTGCTCAGACACTGGGGTCCTCCTCTGCTTCACAGCAGGTACAAGGACTCCATGCTGTCCCACCTGGCACCCCCACTGGGCCTGTCCCTTCCTCTGCAGGGGGGCAGCTCTGTGCTCACCTCAACAATTTCATCCTCCTCAAGCCCAGGAGGCATTTCTGGGCTCTGCTTGGTGTCTCCATTTTCTGCTGGTTGATACTTGGGCAAGTCCTGACAAGCCTCCTGCTCTTCAGGACTGACCTGATCCATATGGGAAGAGACACTGCTGGATGGCTGGACATTCTCCTCCTCCTGAGGAGACTCAGGGGGTACAGAGTCGTCTACATCCTCCTCCCGATGAGGATCGGCGAACAGAGAGTCGTCATCTTCCTCATCCTTGTCTAGACATACAGCAATAACTCTCAAGAAATAAATCAGTTCCAAGACGCTCTGGCATCTTGTCTCCTCTTGCCAATTGTACATACTCTCCTCATCATCTTCCTCCCATTCAGCCCATTTCATTTGTGAGTAGTCGAAGAGGCTGCACACATCGCCATTCATGGGCTCATCCATGTCTTCTTCACCAGGCTCCTCTGGCTTCTCCTGAATTTCATTTCTTCTCCCCATGGGTCCCGTTACACCGTTGGTTCCCCATGGCCCTTCGTCAGGAGGGAGGGAGGGAGGATCCTCAGAGGTCACATCTTCACAGGGTGTGATACCCTCACTGGCAACATTGTCCTCGGCGGGGAAATAGCCTATAGACAGGCTCTGGTAAGATTTGGATTCCGAAATACAGTGCTCCATGTCAGGGCAGCTGCTGCCAGATGATGAGTCGTCCATAGGGACCAAGGGCTCAAAAGCCCAGTCTCCCTGGACTCTGGAAATTTCAAAAGAAAAATATTAATTCATGATAGGGGGAAGTGACTCATGTACTTTTCCAAATGATGCCCATTCCTTCATCCATTCCCAGCTATCCCACTCAGGCAGAAGTGCATCCTGTATTTGCACTCTCCAGTCAAGGGCCCAAGAGCAGTTCTTTCTCTTGGAAAACTCATTTTATTGAGTAATGACCCTCTGCCCTGAGCATCTCCACCTGATACCTCTCATGCTTTGTCTTATCACTACAGTTGAAAGAACTGCCTGCCATAAAAGAGAGTTGTATAAATTTGAAAGCTACAGGAAAGTCAAAGATGTAAAGAAATACCCATATCCCACCATCCAAGGGGAATGACAATCCTCAGGGAAAGAGTTTGGTGCATTCCTTTATAGTCTTATTTCCCTCTTATCTACATACATGTATGGATTGTACTCGTGTGCACATATGTGGATGTCACATCAAAGAAACTGAGATTATTAAATTTTGTGGTACACCCTACAGGAAACAAATATATGGCTATTCTGTGATCCTTCAGCACTTTCTCATTAACTCTCTTTGGTGATCACCTGTTAACAATCATCAACATAGGTGATCAATGAACCTTAGATAATTAAGACCATTAACAATGGTCTTATTAATGATATTAAACCCCCTTATCCACACATTTTTGTCTTCCTTTACATAGTCCTATAGGTAGGATCATTGACTCAAAAATTACAAATATTATAAAATTATGATAATTGATATTAAATTAATTTCTAGAAAGAATACATCTAATTAAATGCCCATCCTGACATCATCGGATGGTATCTTTAGTCCAGCATTTCCCGTGATGCTTCAGCAAGTCATTGGGGAAGAGAAAACAAACATTGGCTTCCCCTTGAGATATCTCTCTCTCTATCTATCTATCTATCTGTCTCTCTGTCTATCTCTATTTCTATCTTCTGTTCTCGCACACACACATTCATGTACCTGTAGACTCTGTCAAAACTGGCTCTAGTGACTTCTTGCGAAAAACAGATGCTGCCAACTCCTGAGGCAGACCCAGGCTACCTGAAGTCCTTCAGGTACTGAATCCAGTAACTGAGAAGTTCAAAGGTCAGAATCCTTTGTTCTGAGAACCTTGGCTGCCATGGCAACAGAGGAACACAGGAGAGTCACAAGTGTGGAAGGACAAATGGGGATAGAATACCACAGGACACATCCCCTTGCTTTAGTCATTTGTTTCTTTCATTGTGACCAAAGTATATGACAAGAACAATTGACAGCCAGGAAAGTATTTTGTAACCTCACATTGCAGAAGTCATAGATCACTGGCTCCCTTGCTCTGGGTCCTTAGTGCACCAGCCCATCATGGGGGGAGGGCCCAGTGGAGGAAATGTATCAACAGATGGGGGTCAGAAAACTGAGACAGGAAAGGGCCACAGGAAGAACACCTCCAGGACCAACTCACTATGGCTCACCTCCTCCAAGCATGTCCTACCACCTACCATTTCTAACCACAAAGTTCATTCAAACTAGGATAAATTCATTAGGTTTCAGTTGTCACTAACTGCTCATCTGGGGTCTCCATCACAGCTTCACTTTACCTACAACTTCATGCATTGGTCTCTCAGGGGCGCCTACAGGGACTTTGATCCAGCAACATTTTGCCTGGCTTCCAGGTCTTTCTTTGAAATCTTGGTGGAAATTTCATGGCCCCTTATGTATTTGTCAAAAAAAAAAAGAGAGAGACATGGGTTTAAGAACACCTGAGGAAAATACACATGTGTGGCACACACACACACACACATGCACACACACATACACACACTTTACGGAATAGTAATCAAAGCTAAGAAATAGCTATTGGACCTAAAAGAACGTCAACTCATTGGGCTCTGTCAACTTCATAAGAGCTTTCCCAAATATTTGTCTCTATTTCCATTCAATAAGATAGTATTTACAGTGTGCATAACTGTTCCATTTTTTACTATTGACTGGACTTAAATATCTAGTTTCTCTTCTCAAAGTTTGTAGAAGTTCTCTCTTCCAGAGTTTTGATGGCATGATGCAATGAATAGGCAGAGCTGGGGTTGGCAAGAAACACCTACTATTCAATAGATGCAGCCTGGAAAATGTCCCAGGCTGCCCCAGCTGCCATGAGTGACCATGGCCTCCCTGAGTATATGCAGGGTCTTGTGCTCATGACCACATGCCCCCTTTCTGGGTGTTAGCTCCTTTTAGGCTCAAAGAAGCCTATGAGCTAAGTCTCATTGGTTGCCTGCTTCACAGAAGAACATGAAACATGCGCAGTCAGGTAACTGGCTCACATTCCCAAGTCATAACCCCAGGCACCTGGATTCAGAGGCAGTCTGCCTTCAGAGCCCCAACCCCTTAATCTCCACTCACCCTCATCTCTAGGGACCTGAGCACCCACTTCCTCCTGGAAGACTGTGGGAGAACTGACTCAGTCCACAGGCAAACCCATAGGCTGTTCCTCTGTAGAAACTCCCCTGTGCAGAACGTGATGCTCCATGGGACAAGCAATAGGAATAGGCGTTCCATAGAGCTGGCCCTGAACAACGGGGTCCACATCTGGAGTAGGGGGGAAGGGAAGTCGTGAAATAAGTATTAAGCTTCCTCTTTGACATAAGGAGATCTGAAATGCTCTGCTTTGGCTTTTGATGAAAACTTTAAGCCTGCCTTCCAGAGCACTGTGTCCTTGAAGAGAATTCACCACGACCTCTCCTTCTGTGCAGGGGAAGTGGAGCTGTACATTGTACTGTCACCCATGAAATGGAGCTTTTTGACCAGAATATAGACCCTTGAGAAGGAAAGAACGATTTCCACCCTAGACCACTGAAGTTGAGTGATCCTGAAGCCAAGGAACCTTCAAAAGGAGACAACCAAGGGAAGGGAGAGGAGAGGGGAACAGGAAAGGAGGTAGAATGAGTCAGACATAAGGTTTTACATTCATATAGGAATACACCCCAGTGAAGCTCACATCATGTACAACCACTCGAATGAGACCCTAAGTTATCCTCCATGTATGGATAATATGTCAAAATACACTCTCCTCTCATGTACACCTAAAAAAGCAAATTAAAAAAAAAACAATCCTTTTAATAACTGTTACCTGGGCAGCTGGACACCGACATGCCAAACGATGAAGGTGAAGTGCTTCACACACGTGAGCAAGATTGAACTCTGTGACCCACAGACCCAAATAAGGACAGCCCCAGGACACTCGGAAGGAAACATCAGAGTAAATCTTTGCAATCTCAAATTGCAAATCCCTCCTATGCCTGTTCCCTAGAGAATTGAAGAGTTATGTCTCCACAGAAACCTGGACATGAATGTTAAATGAAGTGTTACTCATAAATGCCCCAAAGTGGAATCAACCCAAATGTCCATCAGTGGATGAAAGGGTGAACAATATATAGGAGATCTATACAATAAAACATTACTCAATCATGAAAAGGAATGGAGTACTGAATCATGACACAACCTCTGTGAACCTGGAAAACAGGATCTCAGTGAAAGAAGCCAGTCACAAGAGATCACATATCTGCTTCCTGTAATAGGAAACATTCAGAATATGCAAATGTAGAGAGAAAGAAAGAGGATGAGGAGCTTCTGGGGAAATGCAGATCCCCTCTAATGTGTCCAAAGGTTCTTTCTAGGGTGATGAAAATGTTCTAGAGTTACACCGGGGTGATGGTTTCACAACCATGTGAATATAGAAGAAACCACTTAGCTGTACAGTACAGACCTTGGTATGTGAAGTGCATGTAAGTAACGCTACTTAAGAGGGAAAAATAAAACCCAGCTCTTGGAAATAAAAAAAACAACACAGCGAGAATCTAAAAAAAAAAAAAAAAAAAATTGCACTTTTGTTTACTTTTACCATTTCTCTGAAATGCATTTTTGTGTTGCTCTGTGCTGACAAAAGAGAACACGCACACACACTTTTGTCCCCATTTGAAATGTGCAACTCAGCTAGTGAATATCCCAGACACTCACACCCTTTCCTACCCCAGAAAAAAACAATGCTGATTCTTTGTAGTTTAATATGTTTCTTAATTTATTTACATTGTTTTTCTAAAGCATCAGAGAAATAGCAATGACACACATCCCCCTTCTTGGCCATGCTGAGGAGTGCAGTCACTTCCAAATGAAAACTGACCTTTTACCTCTCCTAACAGATTAGGGGACTTGGGGTCCTTCTTCACAATACCTCCAGTGTTCCTTATTTTCTAGGGCCTTAATCAGACTTGCTGGCCTAGCTCTTTTAGATGACAGTTTCTTTTTCTAAAATGGCATCAACTGCCTTCTCATGAAGCAAGATTATAACAAATCTTCTTCAGGTATCAAAAATGATAATATGTTGTGGATCTATGCTTCAGATGTAAAGTCAGTAATGAGAGTGACATTAAGAGATGGGACACTTTGGGAAATCCATTTGACTCAATGTGTCTTGGAACCTGAATACCTACAGGAAGTTTCTCATTTATTAGTTAAGCTAATATAATGGTTGATTTAATGTGTCAACTCGATGGACTATCAGGTTTCCAGATATTTTTTGGTTAAGCATCATCCTGGGTGTGTCAGTGAGGATGTTTCTGGATGGGATTAATATTTGTTCCACTAAGCCAGGTAGGGTGGTACAAGCCTGGAATCCCAGTGGATTGGGAGGCTGAGGAAGGAGGATTGTGATTTAAAAGCCAGCCTTGGCATCTTAGCAAGGCCCTAAGCTTCTCAGTGAGACTATCTCTAAATAAAACAGGAAAAAGGCTGGAGGTGTTGCTCATAGTGTAGTGCCTCTGGGTTCAATACCCAGTACCTGAACAAACAAACAAACAAAGAAGTTTGTCCCAGTCGACCCAGTAAAGCAGTTCGGCTGCCCCAGTGTGTGGGCCTCTTCCAAATCCATTCGAGGTCTGCATAAAACAAAAGACTGCTCTGCCCAACTGTCTTGGAGCTTGGTCATCAGTTCTCCCTGCCTCTGGACTTGGACTGGACTTGTCCCATCAGCCCTCCTGCTTCTCCAGCCTTCAGACTCAGACTAGAACACTACTGTTGTCACTCCTGGGTCTCCAGCTGGCAGATGGCTGCTCCTGGACTTCTCAGACTCCATAACACCATGAGCCAATATCTTGTACAATTTCTCTCTTTATATGTAGAATCTTCTATATTGTTTCATATTCGTTATTATTTTTCTTGGTAAGAGGGATCGAACCCAGCAGTGATCAACATCTAAGCCACATCCCTAGACAGTTTTTTTAAAAAAATATATTTTATTTAGAGACAGTCGTCTTGCTGAGTTACTTAGGAGGGCCTTGCTAAGTAGCTGAGCTGGCCCTGCCTCAGCCTCCTGAGCCACTGGGATCACAGGCAGGCACCAAAACACACAGGCTACAATCTCCTACTCATTCTCTTTTTCTAGAGATTCCAGATCACATACTAGACTCCTTCCTTCCTTCTTTCCTTCCTTCCTTCCTTCCTTCCTTCCTTCCTTCCTTTCTTCCTTCTTACTTTTCTGCCTTTTTTCCTTCCTTTCCAGTGCCAAGGATCAAACCTAGAACCTTGTACACACTAAACAGCTCTCTATCACTAACTTACACTCACAGCCCATTTATTTTATTTTATTTTATTCTATTTTATTTTATTATTTTATTTTATTTTATTTTATTTTATTTATTTATTTTATTTTATATTTTATTTTATTTTATTTTATTTTATTTTATTTTATGACAGGGTCTTTTTATGTTGCTCAGGCTGACTTTGAACTTCTAATCCTTCTGCTTCAGTCACCAGAGTAGTTGGGATTACAGGACACATCACAGCACCTAGCTTCCATTTTTTTTTTAAATTATAATGTAATTTAAAAGTATAAAAAGAGGCATTCTGAACGTGTGATAGGATGCACAGAATGCTCAACAAAGCCTCTGTGGATTCTTGCCCATATGCATCACCTTACTGCAGTTATGGTAAAGTGACAGACAACTCCAACTGTGGGACATGTGACAAAATATCTCATTATTGTCAGGTCATGAAAGGTAAGGGAAGACTGAGTTCTCGTCACACACTGCAGGCCCCTCGTGGGAAAGTACATTTAAATATGACTTCTGGGTCCACGAGGAGACCTGGAAGTGGATCCGGTCGTCGCGAGGCTGGGTCCGCTGACATTCAGGGATGTGGCCATAGAATTCTCCCAGGAGGAGTGGAAGTTCCTGGTCCCTGCTCAGAGGGCTTTGTACAGGGACGTGATGCTGGAGACCTACAGGAACCTGGTCTTTCTGGGAATATGTCCTTCAGACCTGAGTGTCCTCTCCTGGTTGGAGCAAGGGAGGAAGCTCTGGACTGTGAATGGCCCAGAGGAAATATCCAGGCCTCCAAATGAGTGGGCATTTGTGGAGGGTGTGAAAGGAGGTCCTTGCTGAGTTACTGCTGGGCTTGAACATGGATCATCCACCCTCAATCTGACTAGCCCTTGGGATTACCAGCATACACCACATTATTAGTGTGTTTCTAAATGTGTCTCTCATTGGGCAAGTAAGACACACAGAATGCACCTTTTTCTATAAAGCAAAAATAAAAATAGAGTAAGTTTTGAGACAGAGTCTTGCTAAGTTGTTGAGGCTGGCCTTGAACTTGGAATGCTCCTCTCTCAGCTTCCTGTGTTGCTGGGATTTCATGCACATGCCACAGCACCCGGCAGGACTTTGTATTTTTTATGCAGACAAAGCAGAGCCTGGATAAAAAGGAGAACCATGGAGCCACCGGACCATATCATGAGCACGGAAAAGACAACCTCAGGAAATACAAACAATGCTGCATATAATGAATTTGGTTTTTGTCACAACCTGCAGAAGTACAGTACCCAAAATCTATGTCAGGTTTTTGCTACTCCATATGCTAAGCACATAGAGAGGAAAAATGAATTCACCACAATGTACAGGATCCAGCAGAGGGAAATGGAGAAGCCAATGTACTTTGTGGCTTTTCCTTTGAGATCCTTCTAACAGGAGTTCATAGGATTGATCATGATGTTCTGGAAGATGCTCAAAAGGCTCTACTCTACCTAACAGTACTATCTGTACCTTCAATAAATCTGTACTGTCCTGTTAAAAATAAATAAATAAATAAATAAGACTTCTGGATGAGATTAATATTTGCTCCACTAAGCCAGGTAGGGTGGTGCAAACCTGGAATCTCAATGGCTTGGGAGGCTGAGGCAGGAGGATTGTGATTTCGAAGCCAGCCTTGGCATCTTAGCAAGGCCCTAATCATCTCCGTGAGACTGTCTCTAAATAAAACATGAAAAAAGCTGGGCGTGTTGCTCACTGGAGAAGTGCCTCTGGGTTCAACACCCAGTACCTAAACAAAGAAAGAAAGAATAGGAAAAGGACCTT